ACGAGCTCACTTATGGGGGTTTCCCTTCGGCTTAAATGTGACAATAGAGATCAAACTGTGGAGACAGCCCTAGACATGACTAAAATCACGAGATCACTCAGACACCAGAACTTACTTATGGGAGACGCTCCGTTTCGGCTCTATATTGTGACATTAGAGATCAACCCGTGGAGACAGCTCGATAAATATGTAGAATAGTGTGATAGGGTTTACCTTCCACACCGTAAGATTTGCAAAGCCGAATAATGTTGATAGCTGCTATATATAAACATAGCATATTTAATTTTTTATAATTTACTTAATACCAAGAATACTCAAGGATTAAGATAGGTTTCGTGAATGTTGAGTAGGCCGGAGCGAAGTATGAGTAGATCAATCCGTAGGAAGAGAGCTACTAAGATTGTTTATTGAATAGGCCGTAGCCAGGTATGAGTAGATCAACCCGTAGGAAGAGAGCTACTAAGAGTGTTTGTTGAATAGGCCGTAGCCAGTTATGAGTAGATCAACCCGTAGGAAGAGAGCTACTAAGATTGTTTGTTGAATAGGCCGTAGCCAGATATGAGTAGATCAACCCGTAGGAAGAGAGCTACTAAGAGTGTTTGTTAAATAGGCCGTAGCCAGTTATGAGTAGATCAACCCGTAGGAAGAGAGCTACTAAGATTGTTTGTTGAATAGGCCGTAGCCAGGTATGAGTAGATCAACCCGTAGGAAGAGAGCTACTAAGAGTGTTTGTTGAATAGGCCGTAGCCAGTTATGAGTAGATCAACCCGTAGGAAGAGAGCTACTAAGATTGTTTGTTGAATAGGCCGTAGCCAGGTATGAGTAGATCAACCCGTAGGAAGAGAGCTACTAAGATTGTTTGTTGAATAGGCCGTAGCCAGGTATGAGTAGATCAACCAGTAGAAAGAGAGCTACTAAGAGTGTTTGTTAAGTAGGCCGAAGCCAAATTTTAATAAGAATGTATTTGTATTGTATTTGTATTTAATGTAGTATTTAAATAGAATGTTACGCTAAAGATGGCTTAGTGAATAGTATTCCGTAATAATGTTTAAATTCCGCCTATTCGGATAATGACATTTTAAATAAAATAATCTACCTAGTAGTAAAGTAATAAATGAATACCACATAACTATAATAACTATTTAGAAACGGTTAAATTAGTATGTAAGGCGCAGTGGTTAGATAAATGTATGCGCTTAAAATTAAACTTTGCTTAAATTCAGCTTATTTGAATAATGAGCTAATGGTGTTTAAATAAACAGATGTCAAGTCTACCTAATAATTAACGCATAACTATAATAACTTAATAGAAAAGTTATTTAAAATCAGCTTAGTTAATGTGTAAAATGCTGTGTATAGATAAATGATTCGTTAATGTCGGCTTCGCGATCGATACATGGAATAAATTTGCAACTGGTTGCCGTCCGTACATGGCAGACGTAAATATAAAAACCTCATTATATTTATGAATGTAATAAAGCCAAAACCAACGATTTTTAGAACTTTTATCTGTACATTTGTGTACGATAATCTAAGAAACGGCTTAACTGATTTGAACACGGCTTTCACTAATGCATTGCGGCTTACTTCACTCGACATTTAGCGTTTGTTTTATTTCAATCGGTTCATAAATAAAAGTTATATGAATCTTAATAATCGTATACGAAATGCTATAAAATGACCGATCAGTTGCTTTGGTTGAAACTTTATGAAGCTATTAGGTACGTAATAATCATTTATATATATAAATGACAATTACTTTTATATTAACGTTTACGTTAATATTATATAAGACCGGATTTATGAATACTCTTTTTAATTACAATTTGATTATAATGAATTTAAACTACTCTAAGCTGATTGAATCCTATTCTAAATATTCTGAAAACACGAGGAAATAATATGGATTAGTACAGTCAAGAAACGGAAAGGACTCACTGGATTACGCCAACCTCGATCAACCAACATCATCCTCAACCTCCTCTGGTAAATGTAGATGATAAGTGTACTTTTTTGTTATGTTAATTTTATTTTCATTATTGTTTTCTACATAACCAAACAACAATACAGTATTGATTAATAGTAACTTGGTCTTTATTTTAAGATTAGATGTAAACTAATTACATCTAATCTGTTTACCTCTAAAGAGATGTACTTTAACAAAGTAACAAGTGCTTACATTGTTTCTTACGGTAATATTATTACCGTTATTCCAATTATTGACTTGTATCATATTTGTTATACTAGTCGAAGGCGTACCACGTATTAACACTTATTCAAGCAATAATCTGAGACCATTCAACCAAATATTGGATAGAAATACAACGTGTAATAGAGTAACATATATATAGTAATCGTTCTAATTGCTTGTAAATAAACCATAACATGAATAGATATTTCCTTTTCTAGATGCTAATGTATCAGTAAAGATGTCGAGCACGGAATCAATAGACGCGTGCCTTGAAAGATATTTTTGAATGAGTACATCTAAAATACCACTTTCTCGATAATTATCAGTTATTCGATTTGTTATCTCACAATTGTTATTGGATTTGGTATTATAGAAAATTGCTACAATATTACGAGTATAATTATTTGTTATATTAACAGTACCTGAATCAGATCAACTCGTTATGCTTACTAAGAAGTCGATACAATATCGGAAATTATTATTAGTCCGCTAGTGATATTGATTTCTATAAATTTTAACTCAATATCTTATAAGTTAGATTTTGATATTAAAAACCGCAACAATATGACAACAACTATAGACTTAATACTCATATAACGTACGCAACGACTAAGTCATTAGACGTCCAGTTTTGTAAAGTCGTTCTGTTGAAATAACGTTGAAATTTACATTGTCTTCATATTAGATATGTAAATTAGATACATTCTTCAATTGTAATCTAAAACTCTTTAATATTATAAATGCGACAGTTTGTAAAGATGAAGGAATAGATGGATTATTGTTTGTTACTCTTTCACGCAAAACCTACTAAACGTATTTGAATTAAATTTACTACGTCCTAACGTAGCATATAGGATTCATTTTGAACTGATTCACGCAGATAAAGCCGTGGAATACATATAAGCATATTTAAGAAAGTTCTTCTGGCGGGCTATGCCCACTTCAGGACCCGAGCGGAGCTTTGCAGACATGTCTAAGCACTGTACATATATGCCTTTTTTACTTTTTTGAAAGGCCAGGCCTCCCTGGAAAACAATCTTAGTTATGCTAGTTTAATCTAATTTTCATTTTTAATATATTAAAATCAAAACGGCACTTTAGTTTACTAAAAAATATTAAAAGAAAACTTTGGATAGAATATTTGAACGATTTAATTTTACGAGAATTGAGCTACAGACACGTACCAGGCTGCACGTTAGACCTTTGGTTTTATACGACTTGATGCTCTGCATGTAGATCAATCCATCACAATATGTTTAAAAAGCCACACCATACAAACTGTGACGGAAAACGAATATTTGTTTAGCACGACAACAGAATGTGTTTGTTTAGGGTTCCCTGCGTAAAGGGCAAAACGAACTCCTAATATTTCTATCGGAAGCAGTATGTATGGATAGTTAAAGTATGTCTTACACACTATATTGCTTATTTTTAATATTAATACTTTACGAATATTGCAAAAGTGTGAGTTTGTTTGCTTGTTTGTTACCTAAAGTACTCCAATAATCGTCATATTTGGTATGTATTTTGAATATATTTGGAATGAAAAATGAGATAGTAAATTTTATGAACTATAAATATTATATATCATAACACAGTCACGTGAATAAAATCATGGTAAAATAAGCTATGAATATATTAAACCTTAGTAACTAACTCTTTGAATAAACAAATAACTTGAGAAGATTTGCATTAGCGAGTGGCTAGGAAACTGGCATTTTTCGCACTAAATCCAAACAACACAGAACACGCAGTTAGTGTCCGTGACGAGCGTGAATGAATGGCGTCGCATTTTTCTCGCTAACACCGCGTCGCCTTCGCAATAAAACATTCATGAATTCAGAATGTTACTACTCAGTACCGCATGGATGGGGAGAGGGATGCTTTCAAAATCTGGAAAAAGTACCATTCAGCTACCGATTTACAGCTTAATATTTAAATTAACGCTTAAAACGTTTCTATTATTTTTCATGTAAAAAGAATTTAGGGATGTTTTCAGGGAACCCACGGAACGGAATAAAAGTAAATGGATACACTGTTTCAGATATACAGGGTGGGATTGCTCCGCCGCCGGCGGAAGTGCGGCGAACTATGCGCGGCTCGGGAACGGAATGTGGACAATTTCATAAAAGCTCGTGGAGCAAGACGTTTACTGTGATAAGCGCGAAAGCTAATAAATTGTAATGTGCTAATAAAATAAAGACTTTTGCGCGCGATTAGATATTTATAAATAATTGCTAAAGATAAATAATACATATTTATATAGATATTTTTTAAACATTTTCTCTGTCTTTATAAATATAACAGAAACCAAAACAACGGCTTTAAAAAAGAAAATAAAATGTTATGCGTTGTAAGCGCTTCACTCCAAGACAGTTAGACCGATTTGACTAATTTCTTTTTAAAGACGTTCATAATAATCCGATGAAGGTTTTAGAGAAGGAAAACATTTTTATTTTAAACAGTAGAGTGTCTATTGGGTCAGTTACTTTAAAAATAAAATAAAAAATATGTTCATGACTGTAAAATCATTACTATTCTTTTTTAAAGTTTTTAGACTCTATTATTAGTGAATGCAACATTTTATTTTAATGTCCCAAATAAGAATTAAAACCTAACTGTGAGGTACACTATATAATTATTAATCCATATTCACACTGTAAATATTTTATATTTTATTGGATAAGCATTACATCAAACCTTTATAATACAATTACATTGTCGTTGCTATTTATTTAGAAAATTTCCGAGAATTTGTGCTCAAGAGCGTTAGATCGCAGTGATATCTATTTGTTATGATTATCTTGACTTCGTTTCCGAGATTTATCTTTGACCATGTAGTAGCCTCGCTACGCTGCAACCCTTCGCACAAGCATTCAGAGGGTAGGAATAAAAACATAATAATGACATTGCTGTCACTCTCCTATGCCGACACATTCCGACCCAGCCTCATTCTTGTCCGTGCGCTCGCGCCGACTGCACAAGCTTATAAATATATAAACTAAAAAAAAAAAAAAAAAAAAAAAAAATGCCTAAACGCAAACGCGAAGAATCGAAAGAGGAACGTTGGTCAAGAAAAATGAAGAAATATGAAGCGAAGCTTCTTAAAACACAGTGTCGTAATACTAAGCGTATTGTTTACTCCAGCGATGAAGATGATGTACATATCGAAGGTGATTATTATCACAAATTTATTTCTCGTTGAATTCTTCGAGATATAATTTTTTTAATCCCGTTGTATTCTTCGGGATCAATTATGATCGTTGGCATATTTTGCACGATCGAACTTACCCACATATTGTTTTATTTTATTTTTTTCCTTGACTAAAAATTCGTTATTGAGTTTATTATAAATAAATTATTACAATGAATATTACTTAATATCATTGTTAGTGAAGGAGAAGTGTTTGTTATTTAAATTAAAAGAAATCCTAGTGAATTTGAGGATTAATACGTAACATTCGTTTCCAGAACATCCGGTACCTGGAGAAACTGAATTGTTTAATGTGGGTAATATTTCAAGCGAACAGCAAGAAATTTTCTCGGATCTTGACTCGTACCAAGACCTTCCTCCTAAGGAAGTACCCTTAACTGTAACTGAGAATAATGAGGAAGTCGCAGAATGCATTGACTCGGAATTATTACAAGCCTTAGGAGAAAATGAATCGGAAATTACTGAATATGGTGATGAAATATATAAAGATATAGCAACAAGGTTCCAAAAAATTTTAATAGAGGGCTTAAGAAAGGAAAATAGAGAAGAACTTATAAAGAAATATCTGTTTCCTAAAAATTTACCGTTCTTAAAGGCACCCACTCTAAACCCAGAGGTCCATGCTATGCTTCCTGAGCCTTGCCGTCTCCGCGATAAACGTTTGATTTGTAAACAAGATCAGCTCGGACGTGCACTATCAGCCCTAGGAAAGGCCATGACGGCTCTTTTAAAGAAAGACCCTGTTATATCCGAAGTTATTCGCATATTGAGCGATACGGGAAAACTTATCGCAGACTCCCACTACGCAGAAACAGACACCCGTCGGTCAGTCATCATTCCATTAGTAGACAAATCTTTGGCCGATACTTTTAAAAACCGGAAGAGAGATACTTTCTTATTCGGAGAGAGTTTATCTGAAGTAGTGAAGGAATCTCGAGGAATTAAGAAGACTAGTCAATTAATTCAAGCTACAGCCTCTTCTTCCAGCTCTGGTTTAAACTTCAGGGGCCCATCGGCTCGACCACGTCAGTGCGCCAGTCAAACCAACTCGCAACAACGAGCCGGTGGGCACAAAACTTCATATGCGAATCGGCGACGTGTAGTCGCCGCACCGGCGCCACACAGTCGCCGTCCGCAACCACCGCCGCCGCCGCCAGCGCGGCGCCAACCAGTCTACAAGCCGCGACCAGCAGCCGATCGGTCGCGGAATTAAATACAGAATCTCAGGTATATGCAGGTCGCTTGAAATATTTTTTACACGCTTGGCGTTCAATTACAAGCGATAACTTTATTTTAAATTCTATTCAAGGATATTCAATTCCATTTATTACTATACCAGAACAGAGTCCAAGTGAATATCCAAAACGTATTTTTTGTTCTAATGAACGAATTGCACTTAAAAAACAAATTCAACATTTGATAAAATTAGGGGCCATACAAAAATGCAATCCTGTTAAGGGACAATATTTATCTGACATATTTTTAGTGCCAAAGAGTGACGGTAGCATGAGGTTTATATTGAACCTTAAAAAATTAAATAAATATGTTCGTGTCGAACATTTTAAGATGGAAGATATTAGGACGGCGACAAAACTAATAACTGAAGGGTCTTTTATGGCCAATATTGATTTGCAGGATGCTTATTTTTTAGTCCCAATCCATGCTAGCCATAAAAAATATTTACGATTTTATTTTGAAGGAATACGAATTCACTGCACTCCCGTTTGGATTATGTTCTGCGCCTTACATATTTACAAAAATTTTACAGCCCGTTATGACTCACTTAAGAGCTCGTGGTTTTAAATCAGTACGCTATTTGGACGATATACTTTTACTAGGAGACTCGAAAGCGATTTGTTTGAATAATATAAGTAATACTAAAAAAATGCCTTACAAGCTTAGGTTTTGTAATAAATTATAAAAAGAGTAGTTTGAAAACAAGTACTTCGTGTACTTTCCTAGGATTTGTTCTCGATTCCAAGTCGATGACTTTGCAATTACCCGATCGAAAAAGAAATAGTATACTCAAAAATTTAGAGATGTTACTCACTACTAAATCTATACGCATTCGAGAATTTGCGCGAGTTCTCGGTTCCCTTACTGCTGCATGCCCTGCCATTTCCTATGGATGGCTACATACGAAGTCACTAGAAAGAGCTAAATATATGGCACTTCAGCGTAATGCAGATAATTACAATGCTTTTATGGCTATTCCAAATAAATTGCACGATGATTTGATATGGTGGAAAAATCATATTCTAATAGCTAGTAATCGTATTAGACAACATAAATATGAAATGGAACTATTTACTGACGCTTCATTGACAGGATGGGGTGCCGCCTGTCACAATGAGAAGGCTGGTGGTTTGTGGTCTCGCATTGAGCGTACTAACCACATAAATTATTTAGAATTACTAGCCGTTTATCTCGGACTGAAATCATTCGCTAACACAAAAAAAGATTGTGATATTATTTTGCGTGTCGACAATACAACAGCGATCTCGTACATTAATAGGATGGGCGGAGTTCAATACCCGCATTTAAATCATATTGCAAATATAATATGGAAATGGTGCGAGGAAAGGAGAATATTCATTTTTGCTTCATATATTAAATCTACATTAAATACTGAAGCCGATAGAGAATCGAGGAACCTAAATATTGATACTGAATGGGAATTAGCGTCGTATGCATTTTCAGAAATAGTATATACATTTGGTAAACCAGATATAGACCTTTTTGCATCTCGTGTTAATACTAAATGCCCTAAGTACATATCGTGGAAAAGAGATCCCGATGCTTATAATATTGACGCTTTTACTTTGGACTGGTCTACTTATTTCTTCTATGCATTTCCTCCTTTCGCTATAATATTAAAGGTACTAAACAAAATTATACATGATAGAGCTACAGGCATAGTGGTTGTACCACAATGGCCATCACAGCCTTGGTACCCCTTTTTAAATCATTATCTGTAACGAAACCTGTAACTTTTAGACCTAATAAATATCTCCTTATCTCTACTTTCAGTTCAGTTCACCCGCTACATGGTCAACTTTTCTTGGTAGCGAGCGTGTTATCCGGGAAGGATTTTCCAAGCAGGGAGTACCAAAAGCAGCTGTAGATGTTATGATCTCTTCCTTGTCTCGGAATACTATATCGCAGTATAATTCCAGTCTAAGAAAATGGTGGGAATATTGTAATCAGAATCATTGTGATTTTTATGAAGTTAATCTCAGTTCCCTGCTAATTTTTTTGACAGAATGTTTCCAATCAGGGTCATTCTACGGAACCTTAAATAATCATAGATCTGCTATTTCCTTAATTTCTAGTAATAATATTGGTCATAATGAAAAGATAAAACGTTTTTTCAAGGGTATTTTCAAATTGAAACCCGTTTTCCCCCGTTATATTGTTACGTGGGATACTAACATTGTACTTAATCATTTGGCCAATCTCTCAAACGATTCGATTAATTTAGAAATGTTAAGCAAAAAACTAGTGATGCTGTTAGCTTTGGCAACTGGGCAAAGAACGCAAACATTGTCATTGATAAAAATTTCAAACATTACTTATTACAATGACCGCATAGTTATAGCTATATCAGATTTAATTAAAACTTCAGGTATTGGTCGTCGCCAACCGGTATTGAATCTACCGTTTTTTAATTCTAGACCTAGTATTTGCCCAGCTGCCACACTTAAGTTTTATGTAGCATCAACTTCTTTTGTAAGACCTAATGATGTGGACCATTTAATTTTAACTAGTAGGAAACCATATAAAGCCGTCTCATCTCAGACGTTAGGGCGTTGGATAAAACTAACTCTTCAAGAGAGTGGCATTGATACTTCCATATTTGGTGCCCACAGTACAAGGCACGCTTCTACCTCTGCCGCTTCACGTGCAGGCCTAAGTGTCGATGTCATTCGTAAGGTTGCTGGTTGGTCTGACCAATCAGCAGTATTTGCCAATTTCTATAATAGGCCAATTATTGATACCACTTCTAACTTATTGATTAATTAGATAATAATAACCATGTTTTCAGTTTATTTAGGATATAATAAAGAAATGTACACACTGATTAAATTTTGTTTTTTACTTTTTATTTATTTTTAATTTATTTAATTCTTTTGCAACATTGATAAAAACCTCTGAACATCTACATGGTCAAAGATAAATCTCGGAAACGAAGTCAAGATAATTAAATGATCAAACGAACTTACCTAAAGTGAAGTTCGATCAAAATTATCTTGACTTCGTTGAAGAGATTTAAGGTCCCTCCCACCTCTGCTTATAAAACCCAAATTAATATCAATGTTGCTAGCAGTTACTACCTTATGCTCTAAATAGAATGAGGCTGGGTCGGAATGTGTCGGCATAGGAGAGTGACAGCAATGTCATTATTATGTTTTTATTCCTACCCTCTGAATGCTTGTGCGAAGGGTTGCAGCGTAGCGAGGCTACTACATGGTCAAAGATAAATCTCTTCAACGAAGTCAAGATAATTTTGATCGAACTTCACTTTAGGTAAGTTCGTTTGATCATTTAAATGTTCAGAGTCAGAAAAAGAAATATCCATTTAAAGTAAGCGTTTTCAACGCAAACATGTTTAGACGTCAGATTTATGTTTTCTGATCCATCTGCCGTGCCGTCTCGCATAATATTGCGGACGGACTTGGAAAATAATAAAGGCGGGCAGATAAGGTTTTCGTCTGTTTCAAGGAAAACAGTGGAATTGAGTCGGGACAATTTTATTTTCATTTTCCTTAAGCAAATACAAATGAATCACTACAGCTTAGAAGAAGTCGGGTTAATTTAGCTATATACATTTGGAGCCATTTTATTTATTACAAATAGACAAAAATATACTTATACAAATATACAGGCATGATTTAAGACGATTAAATAAAAATACAAATTGTATTCAGTTGTCGAATTCGTAAGCGAAATGTTCACGTAAATACTTTTTCATGGAACTATTTGGTAAGAAGATTAAAACCAAATATCTACGTATCGTAAAACAAGTAGAACGAAATAATAAAAATAGGTTTCAGCGTAGCAACTTTCTTCGGGCAGCGAAGCGGGAAGAGGAACCAATTTCTGAGCCGATGCGGAGCGTTTTGTTGGAAATAGCTTTCCTTCAATCTGCATTTTCTTGCTGATTTACCAACTTTCATACAGAACGAGAACTTTCTGCAATACCTAATGGATGGAACTTTGGTTGACTCGGCACATTAAAATATCATTAAACTCGAAACTCTGTTGGAATGCCAAAATATTACAATACATTTATTGTGGGTTATATAATAATATAAGAAATTAACAATTCGGTCCGGAAAATAATATATGACCTATATTACTGATATTATACTTATAAAATAGTGTTCTTTGAGTGAAAGAATTTTTACAATTGGTTGAACATTTTTGAGTTTATCCAATACAAAAAAAAAACAACAAATAATCAAATCTTTCCTCTATATAATATTATTATATATAATTGATAACTTATTAAATAACATCCAACAACTTCCAAAATATGGACATATATATCTATCTAAGTAAAGTCTATGACCAATTCTCAGGACAATTTAATACTTAAACGAACTTTTCAACTTTATTTTTATAATTATAATAGAAACATAAAATGTCCTAGATGGAGAACTAGGCAATTGGTATGATTGCAACGAGCCACTTAATGGAAATGGCTATCTAACCATTACCCATAGACATTGTACTGTATACTAATAACTAACTGTACACTATGATGCATTCTTGAGAGCTACGCCTCTTTAACTGTAATGTAAATGGCTTTAGATTGAAACATACCCATGTAGGAACAGTAGGATCAGGAACAGAACTGATTCCTACCAGGAAGCAGCCTTTAATTGGTCGGTCAAATTAGAAATTACTACTTTCTGAATCACAGTAATATATTAATAGACATACATATCTATATATATTACGGAAGAAATTATTCTCTTTTTTCTAAACATACTAAACATTATTGTTACATTTTAAAATCAAATGTATCGACTTATATAGAGACGTAATTGAAATAGAATCAATAAGCATGTAAATCAATTCCAAAAACATTATTACAATCGACGAAAATATTGCATATTACATACGCAAAAAAGTACAGACGAATTGAGAAACCCCTCCCTTATGAAGTCGTTTAAAATTTTATAAGATAGATGTCACGTCTACTCATCTACGGATAGTAATATGAAAAAAATTCTTGAAGTGTTATTTTGTACGTTTGTATGACTTGAAGTGAGTATACTAAATGAGGGCCAATTTTATGTTGACATCAAATGAAACAGCTAAGGGAGGTGTTACATCATGCATGCCCAAGAGCACGTATTGGCCAGTAGGTACACTCGTAAAGTCCCAAGTTCGATTACATACACGAGTGGGTCGCCGTGAATTAACTGCCGTCGGGTCTTGGTCACGTGATGAGAATATTTTTAAATCTTGATACGCTCTTTTTTGAATACATATTTTGTTTATGAACTCACAGTCCAATTAATATAATCCAATAAAATGGTGATGAAACAAATTTAAACAGAAATAATGTTAATAAAATAATTTTAATATGGATATAAATATTGGTATACAAATATTACTGTCTGTTACCTATAAAAATATATAATTAGTTGTAAGTACCTATTTATTTTGAAAGCTCTCTTTCTTTTGCACTATTGTTGCCCAATTGCCTACTGATTTTATACTGTGCTACAACTTATGTAATCTGTACAAAATACAAATCGCTTCTCAGTTAACAAAAATGTGTTTAGAGACACATTC